CCTACAAAGTTATAGACATTTTACAATATTTTGCCCATAGATAGATCCATGTGTAGTTAGAATGCTTTCTTGACAAGATATGAAATTCTCGAATCTTTCATTGAGTCTGAGTGATTTTTGGGAATTCAATATCTCATGAAGGAAACATTCTAGTTACACATAGATCTATCTATGGGCAAATATTGTAAAATGTCTATAACTCTGTAGGAGTGATTTAGATGTCTTATATCGGTTTAGCTTTTTAATATCTCATCGGGATTTATCTTATGCACAAAGTCCAAATTCAAAAGAGATTTTCAAGTTAGGAAGGTTCCCTTATTAGTCATTCTACAAATATCTTGCTAAAAACTCAATTTATCTTATAAATCCTTTTGTGTAAATGATTTATTATCTTACGAATATAGACGTATTCAACAATTGATAAATCGAAATTTTCAAATTGTATGATCAGTTTCAGAATACTTATAATAGTTTCTGTCGAATTAGAGATTGACTGCCAGTCATCTATCTTCAGTATTCACTGGATTCTACTACGAATACGAATAGTTGTGGTTAATCCAATATTTTAGCTAAGACATTGCCAGACTTTAGAGAAGTTAGAAAAAATTCTTATTAGACATGTATTGTTTCGTTTCGCAGCTGCGTATAAACTCATAACAGGAAGAAATCTAACAGAATGATATGATTGTATATCTAATTTCTATTCTACAGTTCTTCGACAGCTATCGGCAAGTAGTTAGTATCCATACGTGTTTTTCAAATCGCGAAAGAAATTGATTTGTCAATTACTAGAAAACATGCAACACAAAAACAAAGTTCATCACATAAACAGAGCTATAATTGAATAGTGAGAAACAATGAGCTAACCTATCCAATTTTTTACGTTGTTTGTCTTAGGTTCAGGTTGGACACAGTGGGCTTCTGTTCTGTGAAAAGGGGAGTAATCGTAATAATCGACTAGGAAGTACAAAGAATAACTGGTTCGAAGCAGACTAATAAACCTAAAACATATGTATGGATCTGATAATTAAGTCCGTAGATTAAAAAAAATACTTTTCAATGCTCTTCAAGAAAAAATTCTGATAGACTTTAACTAGTGACATTGAAATAGGCCCCGTCGTGTCCAAAATTTTCCGATCCGGACCAATTCGATGGACTCTACGTTAGAGTCCACTTATTTAAAGAATATTAGTTTAAGGTTTCATTTGTAAAAATTGATTTCAATTATTTGAATCCTATGTAAGTTGTCAAAGAAATATCATTCGACAATTGATAAAATATCATAATTATATATATATTTCTTTAGCTTAATCAACTAAAAGGTCTTGTTGAGCCTGTTTCATGGAACTATTTTCCAACATTTAATAAGCAATATAAGTCTTCACGTGCATGGAAAACCTATCCAAAATTCTTTATGAATAATTGGATTGCAAGTGCATTTAAAGGTGGTCTTCATCGTTTTTCAATGATAACAAATACAACTCATCATGTATTAAATAATCGTGAATGGCTTCATTTTATAGCATCATCAAATTTTCAAAAAGATTCTTTTTCAGCTATTATACTTACTGGTTGGTCAAGATTTGATCATTTTATGCCATTATGTGATTTATTACCAACAGCTTATTCATCTCTTATATATAGTTTATATATGTTAAATACAAATAAATTTCTTGTTGATGATTCAATTCATGATTGTGAAGATTTATTAAGATTAGTTCATAGAGATTCACAATTATGTGAATCATTACCAGGTATTATACTGTAAAAAGTAATTAGTAAAAAGCTAACATTAGTAATGTGATAGAGTACAAATATACAAACGAAAAAATGCTTTTATAACAAAATGAGAAGTTCAAAACCAATTCTAAACGATACATATCCTTCTTCAGAATTTCTAGAAAATCAATTTATAAGAAAAAATGTTTGGAGTCCGATCTTGCTGAAAAGGATCTCACCAAATTTGGTGACATATCCTGGACCAGGATGCCATATATGCAGTTTTGTAGAGAAACTTTCAGCGCATCGAATAGTATATGAGAAATCAAGTTTTATGAAAATTTTGATGTGCTAAGGATTGATACACTGACTATAACGCTTGAAGGACATTATAGAATATTCTAAAACAAGCTTATGCAAATTTTGGTTTTAAACTTAATCTATATTTTTTTTTACAAAAAACATCTTTCGAAACAGCAGCAGCTCCTTCTCAGCTTGCGAGATTGTCACCTAGTATAGCCTACTTTACTATACGAGGGGATTGGCATTTTAACAACATTCAACAGTCCTATTAATAATTTCTATATAATCATAATCATCACAGCATCCGTGATGAACTGATATAAATAACTCCTTTATAAACGGAAACATTTTTTTAGCCTCTACATCTCTGGAGGAGTCAGAGGAATATGGAAAAGTTTATGTTTGAAATGAACATCAGATATTTATAGATTCTTGTAGAGTTTCACGCAAACATCAAACCTAGATACTCGGAATAAAAACTTCAAAAAAAACAATAATAAAAGTAACAGACCTCTTTCTTGCCACCCTATACCCGCACTTCTCTTCACGAGTCTGGAAGCCAAAAAAATTATTTTTCGTTTATGAAGAAGTTATACTGTGCGAATTATAGATATATGAAAATTTCTAATAGGACCGTTGAGTATTGTTAAAATATTGCCAATGTATAAGATGTTTTCTGCAAAACATATGAAGCTTGATAGTATACAATTTTTGAGAAAGTTTCACGTTGATACTCACTTCTTTTGTGGCACATAATTGAACACACTGAAATATCATATAATCAATTATGAAAACCATTGATGATATAAAATTAAAGAGAATCTATAATTGTATCGAATTGAGTTTATCTTACGATATCCTATGGCTTACAATATCTATAAATATCCTTTAATATCCTCCAAGCATTGTAACCAATGTATCGACTCTTAGCACATCAAAATTTTCATAAAACTTAATTTCTTATATACCATTCGATGCGCCTCAGTTTACTCTACTAGTTCAGGATAGATCACCATAGATGCAATGCGTGCCGTAGACTTTGTCTTGAAGTTTTCAGATATTTTTCTCGTATGCTTAGAAAGACTTCCGCTCATTATTTCTGAATTAATAGTCAGCTGAAAGAGTCAATATTTTTACATGTGTCTATGCTAAAAGAGCTTATTCAAAAAAAAAAAACTCTTGTAAAGAATCAAAGTCGAATGTAAGGTGAATA